AGCAGGGGCAGGATGGAGAGAGTATTTGCGAGGACGATGAGGGTGATCGAGTCGATCGGAACAATCCAGATCGACATCACTCGTTGTTCTCTCGTCCTCGAACCGAGGAGTCGGTACGATGAAGACCTTCGGACTAGTAATCAGATGAAGTTCTCCGAACAACGCCTCAAAGCTTCTCTGGCTACTACGGCCGGCTTGGCCCCAGAAGGTCGGTATTCCTCGGACTCGCCCCCTTCGATGGAGTGGTACGACAAAGAACGTGACCCCAATCCTTTCCTACAAGTCAGACTTCCTTCCGCTTAATTTCTCTATCTTTCATGAATTCGGCTGATTTTGGAGCGTCTGATGGGACATTCGTAGTTTATTTTCAAGTACAAACCCCGAGCAATCTTGGAAAATGAAGGAACCATTCCCCCGCGAGTTGGAGCTGAAGTACTAGAACCGGATCCAGTAATAGTACAAAGTGAGACCGAATGTAAGCAGGGAATCGACAGGAACCGTAAAAGACTCAAAGGTGAGGAGATGGAGCAGGAGGAGGAGAAGCCGCAGAAGAAAAAGCCCAAGATTGTTGCTGATTTGACCGGGTCGGACTCGGAGGATGGTAAATAACAAACCTTATTTAGTTCTAGTTTAACAGCTTTGGGCATTTTTTGAGATTCACCTGTCCATGAATGACTAAAAAAAGTGGATGTGCATTGTGATTGAAACAGAGTCTAGTGTGAAGATTGATGACGAGAAGAATGGCTCGGACTCGGATGCAGAGAGCCGGACGCTGTTAGGAAGTCCGGCGACTGGAAGCTCAGAAGCCAGTCGCCGAACCCCGGCAACTGGTCGCCGGCCGATCTCTCCTCCTCAACCCGGCCCGCGCCCGGAGGCTTATAGAACGCCCAGGACGGCCCGCGAGGCAGTCCACGCGCTCTCCAATTCGCTGCATGATCCCCTGAGCTCCAGCCAACAGAGGATCATCGGAGACCTCCTTGATCGGGTCAGTTTCCTAATTATCACTCTCATCCTCGCAAGTATGACATCCACTTAGCATATCTCTTGGTCTCTCTCACTTATCTTTAAAAAATTGATTACTTGCAAGCAAAGGTTTACGCACGTTTCAAACCCAACAACATTGGCACTGAGCAGTCCGACTTCCTCCTCCCGGTGGAAGGCCGAGACGAGCTAGCTGGAGTTTTTGCAAAGCACAGGAACAGCCATGTCTCGGATAGCCTTCTGGCTGAGGTCGCCCCCAAGCTGGAGGAAGTGATGAATGGGATGTTACGGATCCCATCAGCCCCCGCACGGAGTGGTCGGATCGCTATGGACGATGATGCGGTGTCGATCAAGGACTGGACGGCATCCGTGGAGAGCGGTAAGGAATCAGTTTCTTGAATGTCCCGGCCATCATGTCTGTTTTGCTGACCTAAATGCTATAACCCTCCCGGATATAAATAATTAGTTTGTGACTCGATTTTCTCGCCCACCAATCTTCGGCCTTTCTTCCCGAAGGCCATCGACCTCACAGCTCTATTAACCAAGCCAGACGCTGTCCTCTCTGAGGAGGCCCACAGGAGGTTCCGGGCCATCACCTTATCGCTCATCCATCCTCAGCAAACCCAAAAGAATACCTGGGCTCGCGCCGTCAATGAGGCCGTCTTCCTGGGAACTAACCCCCGATTACCCACCCCGGCTCTCAACCTTTTGCTCCAAAAGGGCCACTACGCCTGCATGCGCTTTAGAGCGTTTCTTCACTTCAGGAACAGTAGTAATTCAAACAGGAATCAGATTCTTGGCAGCTTGAAGCCCTCAAAATTCCCTCACCAGATACTCATCGGTTTCTTATTGCTCGGTGAGCTCCCTGATCTTCGGTTTTTTTACTGATAATCCTCAGTTTTTCTCAACATCACTCTAATCTTCTCGATTATGTTTTTATGATGATCTGATAGGTGTGCGGGGCTTATTAGGAGCGCCGATGAGCAACCGGACGACATTCCATCCGGGCGTCTGTCTGATGAGTGATCTTATGGGCTTGAGGGAGTCTGCTCCCCCGGAGCCCATCTGGTGGCACACTCGCCAGCTGATCATCCGAACGATCAATGAGAATGATGAGCATCTTGACACTCGCCATCTGGCCGCTGCCATCCGACAAGACTTCCTCGCCTTTTGCTCCATCAATATCCCCGTCATCCCTTTCGTTCTCTTATCGAATCAAGTCCAGCAGCTTCCCTCCGAAGTATTGCCTTTGGAGCACTAATAGTTACTCTCACCATGTGTCTTATAAGATCACTTTTTTTTCCTTTCTTCCTCTTATTTGTGCATTCTTATCTTACAATGCTTCTGTTTGTGTCTCTTAATGGCTTTCAATCGAGTCCACTATTGAACTTATGTACACTTCAGTTGCTGATTCTATTATAGCTCAAAATGTTGGCTGATGATACAGCCAATCTGTTGTATCTACACTCTTATTTTTTTCACATCTTTGAGCTTTTTCTCAATGTGAAAAATGCTCTAGATAACTCTACTTGTTTGATGGGCTGGGAAAATTTGTGGTATATATAATGAAACATGAAAATGATGAACGTAAAAAAGTCCTTTCCAAGAAAAAAAATCAGTTAATTATATATAGACCTTCATGTTTATAATTAAGTATAGTAATGTTATCCACATCTGGTAGCTTTTTTTTTATTAACCATGAAGCGAAAAGACAATGGACAAACACACACACAAAAGACGGGGGAAGCAAATACATCAAAAAGAAAAAGAAAAAAGTGGTATACATGAATAAAAAGAAGACTTTGGAGAACAAGTGTTGAAGTTTGTATATATGGATATACACATTTTCTTAATCTGAATTTTTACCAAACCACCAAATCCTACTCCAAAACAAAAAAAACAAAAAAAGGTAAGCAAGAAAAAAAAAAGAGAGAAGACAAAAGAAAGCAGAAGGAGAAACGAACCGAATTTCACCATCATCACCACCACTGATGATTCTATCATCCGTGAGTTTGACCGAGCTTACAGCCCCGGCGATGTCGACAAAAGTATGCACACAATTGCCGTCAACCGTCCTAAATCTTCAACGATCTATCATGCGAAGCACTACCCGCGCGCGCAAAAAAAAAAAAAATACAACAAACCCAGGATATTAGTCACAAGGGAAAAGAAAGGAGGGAAGGAATGGGGAAGGCCGGACCTGACGATCCTTAGTTTATCTGCATCGATACTCCAGACTCCTTGGATATGACCAAACAACGTCCGTTCACAAAACCCATCCACACTCACCACCACTCGATCATCATCATAATCACCCTGATCATCATCATCACCATTTCCAAGAGGGTGATGATTGAAACGAGAATGATTAGAGGAGGCAGAAGGAGGAAGATCGAAGGAGATTTTGATGTTCCAGAGTTTGATACAATTGTCGAGAGAGCCGGAGATAAGCGAATCATTGAGCAGGATTGAAGAGGGACGCAAGGAGAGGGATTGGACTTGAGCGACATGGCCGATCAAGATCTTCAGGGTCTCTCGTGAGCCGAGGTTCCAGATCCGGATCTGGCCATCATCGGAGCCCGAATAGAGCAACTTGAGGGTGCGGGAAGAGTTGTTAGAAGGATATGGTTTGGTGTCCAAGGCGACGGTGTTGACCCATTCCTGATGGCCTCGGAGCACATAGCCGGCGCCGGTGTTGAAGTTCCAGATCCGGATGGTCGAGTCAGCTGAGCCAGAAGCGAGGACTTCGTTGTCGAAGTTCAGACAGCTCACGGGGGCTTGATGGCCCTGGATGGTCCGGATGCATTCGCCCGTCCGCCAGTTCCATAGCTTCAAGCAATGGTCCATCCCTCCCGAGATCAACTTGTTGGTGTCGAATTGCAGACACTTGATCCCCCGAGTGTGGCCGTTCAAGGTCTGGATACATTCCAGCTTATCCAGGTTCCAGATCCGGATCGTCCGGTCCCAACTCCCAGTCATCAGGATCGGGAAACTTGGCGACTCGAAGTTCTCTTCGAACTGAAGACAGGTGATCGAGTCTGTATGGCCCGTTAAGACTCTCTCCACATAACTCCCCTTCCTCCAATTACGTTCTAATGCTAATCGTTCGGTGTACACCGATTTCCATGGTTTGGTTGAATCTTCTCCAGTCGAGGTGGGTGATGAGGGACCGGTGGGGATCGAGAGTAGTTGTTGGTGGGATGAGCTGGGTAATAGGATCGGTGGGAGTAAAGAAGAGGATGATGATGCTATTGGGGGAGGAAGTGGAGGAGGAGGAGGTGGTGGTGGTAGAGGAGGAGGGAGCGTGGATGGGGATGGTGTCGAGGAGGGTTCGTTGAGAAGCTCGTCGGAGGACTTGGCCCGTTTGTCGGATCGAAGCTGCTGAGAACTAGGCAGAGAGGGAGAGCGTTTACGTTTCTGCATCGAGGGGAGACCCCAGCCGCATTTCTGGCAGGTGCGTTCGATATGTTGCTGGCACATCTCGCGCCAGAGCAGGTCGTCGTCGGCGAGTTTCTTCCACAGCTTGCTGACTTGGGCGGCCCTTCCGAGGGAGAAGGCGTCGAAGTAGGACAGGATCCGGAGGCTGAGTTCTTTGGGCAGCCGACTGAAGGGGTCTGTCCGACAAGCCGAGCGCAAGGAGTCCGTCAGGAAGGTCAGTTGGGATGGACAGCAGATCGTCAAGAGGCCGGTGAGGATCAATGTTCGTCGATGGACGTTGGAGGCACTGAAGATGCTCCAGGCGGTGTTGATGGCCTCTTGGTCTGTCTGTGGTAGTTTCTCGATGGCTTCCTGCAGTGCTCGATTGGTTCCTTCGTTGGCCATCCGCTGATGTCGTGGACACAGTTTCGCACAGTCTCCTCCTCCTGGCAGTCCATTTGAGACGGCTAGTCGTGGTATGGTGGATGGTCTGTCGATCACTCCGAATGCGTTGACGTTGTAGGATGAGGTGGCTGTAGGTTCGAGGTTGATGGTTGATGTTTCTTGTTCCTGTTGTTTTGGGAATTCGAATGGGTTTGGTTTGAGTAGGAAGTCTTGCTGGACCATCGTCGTCGTCGTCGTCGTTGGTGGTGGTGGGTGAGTCAGCCAGTTTGCAGAGGAACAGTGGCTGTGACTGTGTTGTAAGAAGGGCCATCCCCCCACGGGGGGGGGGAGGGTAGAACCCCCGACCGGGGTCAATCCAAACAATCCACTCACCACAGGAGCAAATTGGGATTTCAGATCCAGCCCTGGGATGGCATTGATCATCCCAGATTCCAAAAAGCAATCAAAAGAGCCCTGTTGTGAGGCTATTGTGACGATGAATCTCTTTTTACTAAATGGAGTTGGACACTCCTGCAGGGACGTTTTTCAGTGTGATGTCCCCAGGACACCCAAGTGCACCTGTGGTGTATATATTCAACCTCATCATTCATTCTCAAGGATCTATCCCAAGCGCAACTATTATTAAAAAAAAGACAACCTGAAAATAAATAAACCATAGACACAGATCGCATGAAAAATGAAGGAAAACCTTCATCAATTCTCAAACAAGTTTATAAATATCCACATAAACAAACAAAGAAAAACTCAAAAGAGCTGTGTAGAGACTGACAGTATCTATGCAGATTACTTAATGAATCTCGACAATAAAAAAGCAGAAAGAAAGAACGGGGGAAAAAAGTGCTTCTTTTTCAATGCCAAACTTTTCAAACAAAAGGTTGATTTATGTAACTGAAGCTGATTTAATTATCATGCTAGACGATAATTAGGAAAGAGGAAGGGGGAAGGATGATTTAATCTATCCTGGCCCAGTTACTACCAACAATCGTAGCCAGGGTCCCACATGCAAACAGATCTAAAGTGGATTCAAGAACGGAGAAACAAGAAAAGGGGGTGAGGATCGGTCTGAGGGAGGAAGTTAAGATTTGGTTATATGTAAGGGAGAGAGATTTACATTGTACGGGTGGGTTTCTCCTGAGGACCGACCGCCTGCCCGGATCCGATGTTCTGACGAACACTATCACTCGTGGCCAATGAACCGCCGACTTGAGGAGAGCCTCGGCTATTCCATCCCGACGTAGCTACTGCCTTCGGATATAACGCTGCTCTTTTAGAAATACCGGGAAGCCTGCATAGTCGAGGTGCAAGACACAACGGGAGAGGGATTCTTATTGGTTTTAGGGTATTAAAAAAAGAGTTAGAGTCACATACGAGTTGGATGGAGTAGTAATCGATCGCTCCGGTCCAGCCACGTCTGAGCCAGTATGACTTGAGAGTGATGAGACTTGCCCTTGTACATCAGACCTACTGGCAACCATGCCTTCATAATTTGATCTTCGACGCAGTGAGTCTGGTTCCATCGGAAGTCTATCAAAAGATAAAGGGGACATCAAAGCAGAATCGAATGTTACTTATTTATCCAAATGGATGTCCTCTATAATCGAAAATCACAAACACCGCTCTGTCGCTGAGACTGTGGCCCTGGGAGTCCGGAGACGGATTCTTCGTGTCCGGGTGACGGGGCATCAAATGACTAGCGATCTTCTGAGGGAAAATCGGCTGGGAACCAACGTTCCGGTTCATGAGGAAGGCGAAGAGAACTAATATTTCAAGAAACATGGGTTTTAGATTGGTCAGTATGTATGCCATTTCAGTCATGCATCACAGTAGAAAATGGGTAGTCTTTTTTTCGTTCAATTGATGGGCTGCGAATGAAGTTCTTTACTCAACAGAGTGAAATCAGAGCCATTTTGCAAGTATAAGGAAGCCCAGCCATGTTGGTCGATCAGAGAGAAACAGCCACTTCTGAGGGTGGGCACCAGGTGGTACTAGAGAAGAACCAGTCAGAGGGGCGAAGGAAGGTAAGAAAGGTATAAATATGTTTTTCAAAGCCGGAGTTATGTAAGACTTTTTAGATCCTCGATCTTGAGGCGGGAATTTATGGGCAGGGAGAGGCAGATCTTAAATCAATTTTATCAAGGCTTTTATAAGGTTGTGGAGTACATACTATTTACATGATGGGAATTCGCACAATCGACGATGACTTGACCCATTCCCACCAGTTGGCAGTCATGTGAAGATGAGAAGTTGTTGTACAATCGTAAAAGTCCTTTCCTTGGGAGACATAGAAAAGGCTTGCATCGGACCACAAACACGACGTCGGGGGGAATTGTTCAAATTTCATCCGCTCCAAAAAAAAAAAATTAAAATTAAAATGCCAAAGCAGTCGATTTGGTGATTCCTTGAACAGGATTGTTCTACATGTTGTACCTCCGGCATTTTGTCAAATGGTATGAGTCGTGGTGTATTGCAATGATTCTGTACCGGCTTTTCAAATGTGGAAGAGTAGAAAATCTCGAGTCAACTACTATGACGGTACTCCGTCTATAAAAGTGAACAGAATGTAGCTAACATTTGTTTGCGGTCCGGGCACGCAAGCGGTTGGATAGCTTAGTAGTGTAAGCACCGAGGTTAGCAAAGCCTTCTCGAGTGAGACCCCGGAGGGCAGCTCCGCAGGCTCCTGTAGCACAATTGCCAGAGTATGTAGTAGAAAACTAAAATTACACGCTCAGGCTGGTAGTGGTACATACCAACTTCGGATCGACACCTTTTAAGTCTGGAAGAAGGAGCCCATCAGGTTCCGCCAAACAAACAAGCTAGCGTGCAGCATTGGTGGGCGCCAAGCCATGAGCCAACGCAGGACCAGCAGATGTGTTCTGATTTTGCTTTACTGATTAAAGTGGCACCTATAGAGACTCCGTGATGAACGATCTGAATCCCTAAGGGGCCGATAGCACTCAGTCGCGGTACTGTATCCAACCAAGGCTGGATGGCCATCTCAATTAAAGTCTGCTGACACTCAGATTGAGTCGCAAGACTATGCATGGGAAATCGGGGATGGAATCATTCATCGGGGTCAACACTATAGAGGGAGATTGATAAACATTGTGGGTTGTGTAATTCATAACATCAGTTTTCTTTCGATTGCGCGCTAGTTACCAGGAAATTGGTATTTCACCCTTGAAAGTCGGGTCACAATCAACCTTATGAGAGCTTTGGGTCCCGCCAGCAAACAAACTCATAGTGGATTTCTTTGCTTTTTGATTCTTTGCAAAAGTTTTTCAACAAACGTTGATTTAACCGAAGTTGATTATGACAAAAAACGACAAGCAAAGAGAAAGGGAGAAGAACGATTTCATCTATCCTACCTCAGCTCCTACCACCAATTTCAAAAAATTTGGTTTATGTAACTCAAGCTGAGTATCATGCTAGACAATAAGGAAAGAGGAAGGGGAAGGATGATTTATTCTATCCTAGCCCAGCTACTACCAACATCCGAGGCCAGGGTCAAACCAGCAAATAGATCTAGGGTGAATTCAAGAAGGTGAGGAACATGAAGAAAAAAGAATTGGATGATGAGCATCAGTCTGAGTGAAGAAGTGTGATCTTTTTGTAAAGCACAGATATTTACGGGGTGCGGACTTGTCCAGGTCGGACTGCCTGTCCGGGTGACATGTGTTGACGAATCGCCCTCATTGAAATACCTTCTTTAGGTGACCTTTTGTGATTCATTCCCGGAGTAGCTACCTGGGATTGTCCGGGTGGTGCCCTAGTCGAGGGGACACAACAGAGGAGGGATTATTATCTGCATAAATGTTATAATTAACGTTTTCTAGCAAATCAATCTGGAGTCACATATTTACCAGTTGGGCGGAGTAGTGATGCCTCTCTCCGGACCGGCCACGCCCGAGCCAGTATGCCTTGAGAGTGACGAGACTTGGCCTTGTACATCAGACGCGCTGGGAACCGTACCTTCACCATTTGATCTTCGGCGCAGTGATTTTGGTTCCATCGGAAGTCTATCAAAAGATGAAGGGCACAACAAAGCAGAATAGAAAGTTATTTGTCTATCCACATGGATCCGATGTCCTTGATCAAAAAGCACAAACACCGCTATGTCACTGAGACTGTGGCCCTGGGAGTCCGGGGACGGATTCTTCGTGTCCGGGTGACGGGCCATCAACTTCTGAGGGGAAATCGGCTGAGAACCAACCTCCATGAAGAAGGCGAAGAGATCTAAACATTTGCAAAGGAGAAATATGGGTTGATACACATTGGGGAGTGGGCGATTTCAGTGATCGGTTAGGGTGGCATGGTTTCTTCACATATCGCAGGAATGGAATTTTACTCAACAGAGGGAGATTATAACCATTTGCAGGTGTGAGGAAGCAGAGCCATGATGCTCAATCGCAGAAGCCACTTCTGATTAGATTGTGCAAGAGGTGGTGGGAGAAAGGGATCGCTCAACCCAGTCAGAGGGGCGAAGGAAGCCGCGAATTTTATTTGCTTTCCAAAGCCAGAATAAAGTTTCGGATCATTGAGGCAGACAGAGACTTTCTTTGCATCAGGGCTTCAAATCTCTTCAAATACTTCAGAGTTCGCACAATCGTCCATGATGTCTAGAGATGAACAGTAATATGTATGAAGAAAAATGAGAAGTTAGATTAACAAAACCCGATTCCCTGGGATAAAAAAGCACACACTGTAGGATTCAGTATGAAAACTGTTGTTCCAAATCCTTGAAGACTTTTTCCTGCAGTTGTTTGTGTACAAAGACAAATGGAGGACTTCCCGTCGATCTGGAACCCTTGATTTGGAAGGTCTAATCCTAGATCCCAAACTCAATTTGGTGAAGAGAATCAAGTGACATTGACTTCTCATCAGCAAACAAGATTTGGAATCTGGCTTTAGGAAGGCTAAATCTAGGATCCCAGACCGACGGGAAGTCCTCCAATATCGAACTTGAGAAACCCATCAAAATGCCAAAGCACGCAATCCGGGATGAGATCACTCTGTGAATCTGGTTGTTCTATGTATACGGTATGCTCCCGATGCTGTTAAATGGTAGTCTTGGTTAACTCTACGGAAGCCCACAGACGACAACGACCGCGCCAACGCGCCATCGCGCCAAACCATAGTATTTTTTGCGGATCCTTAAAAGAAATTCCCACTTCTGCTTTTTTTTGACCGATCCCCCAGGGAAATTCCCACAGTGCAACATGAAAAAGATATAACACATCAATTTACCTTACATACATACCAGCCTCAGTGCCCCCCACTCCCACCTGCCCCCCAATGAAACACCCCAACCATGAAAAACTACCTATCCAAGGGAGTTTTTTCTCCATCCGATCTCCGATCCTCAACAGACACACTCCGATGACCAGCAAAAAGCCAGTCATGGGTTGGAGTATAGACTCCACCAGATGACTGGTCTTGACCGGTCGTCAAACGGAGTACACCCCATTGACCAGTTTTTTACCAGTCATCAATTGGAGTGTGTACTCCGCGTAAAGACTAGTCACTAATGGCGTGTACTACAGCCAGTGGACAGTCTTGACTCTTGACCGACACCAGATGGGGTGTGTACTGGCCATTGAGCGGAGTACACACTCCACCCGATGGTCGGTCGCTCTCGGCATCCGGTTGAGTACATAGTACTCCACCCGATGACCGGTCTTTACCGATCATCAAGTGAAGTACATATTCCCACAGACTGTCATCGGGCCCAACGACCGATATCTGGCCGTGGTGTTTGATGACCAGTCTCTACCGATCCTGATTGAATAGTATACCTAAATACATATTCCACTTGTGTACCTCACTCGATGGCCGGTAAACACCAGCCATTGAGAGGAGTACACATACTCTCACATACTCCACTCCATCTGATGTCGGTAAAGACTGGTCATCAGCTGGATAGGTGTAGCCTTTACTGGTCATCGGGTGGAGTGTACACTCCAATTGATGGCCGGAAGACTGGGCATGCCCTTCGCCTGACTACCGGTGAAAACCAGTCATCTGGTGGACTATACTCCACCCGATGACTGGTTTTTGCCGGTACATACACACACCATCCAATGGCCGTTGAGGACTGGTCATCGGACAGAGCAGCAATACGGCATCAATACCATTGGATGGAGTACTTTTTCACCGGCGGGTGTTATAATAGGGTACACCGGATGGGGTCGGAGGGGGCTGGTGATATTCTCAGGCCAGCGGCCCGACCAAATCTCACCAGAATCCATAATCCCAGGTTCTTTCAGTACCCTGAGATCGCCTTGCTGACAGCCCACCGCTTGCCCGCCGGGCAGATGTGCATCGGTGCGCTACCCCAGGGTCGGGGCTGGTTGGTTTGACCGGCGAACACTTCGCCAGGCTACGGTTGAACTGCTCTGGTGGTGTACACACTCCGCATCTTTTTGGCAATGGCTGTTGAGGACTGGAAATGTGATGGAGAAAAAACTCCCTCGGAATCGGAGGGGCCGTTTTTCACGGTCAGGCTGTTGTAGTGAGTGATCGGTCCGGCTGAAGCCGGTAATTCTATTTGTGTTATTGGAAAGATGTGATCTGTTTTTTGTAGTTTTGCATAATTCATTTGGAGGATCGGTCAAAAAAAACCTTGTTTGGCGCAATGGCGCGATGGCGCGGTTGTTGTCGTCTGTGGGCTTCCGTATTAACTCTCTGTCGGTGTTTCAACAAGAGTACCCTGCAGGTCCTTGCTGAGGTTACGAGGTACATATTCATACTACTGATCTTGACCAACCTTGACAAACACGTTGCGCAATCTCGAATCAAGAACTCAGCTTTTCGAAAGGAAAAAAAATGTACGTGTAACGGTCCGTGAGTAGAATGAGTCTTGACACGGACATTGGCTTGCAGCGTTGCGGTCCCAGCACGCAAGCGTTCTGGACAGCTTGGTACTCCATTGCGTGCGTCTCTTCCCCGCCCCGAATGGGAAGGATAATGGCAAATGTTCACGGATGCAACAGTGATTTGATTGATTTGGAAACATGTGCATAGAGAGAAAAGGGGAAAAGATTAAAGAAGACCAATCGCAATTTGTAGTGACGACTAGGATTTTGAAACACAGGCTGCAGCGGCCCCGGAAACCTAACCAGATGATTCAGGGCGCGTGATTTCATGGGTCTAGAACATGCGACATGCAGATCATACGGAAGCTCTTTTTCTTTCCAATCGTGCCACTCGTAATACGTATGGCAGAAATCCTAAAACCCAAAAGTTGAAAACACCAATACTGTCCTTGATACGCACATGAACTCCTCTCAGCCTTTTCTCAAGCTCACCCTGGCAATCATCTGGACCACGATTGCCTGGAATCTCAGCCAAAGCCCATCACCAATCTTCTCGCAATTGTTCATCCTCCACTCTGCTTTCTCTTGGCCCCCCGCGCAATTGTCTGGAACTACGCGCAGCTCCCTAGACCGATGGCCACCTAGTTCTACTCATGAACATGCAGGGGGTCAATGGGGTCCCCTGCCTATCGCTCAAATCTCAGACATTACATCTCACAAAACTACTGGCCATCATTCTCGCTGATCCGAGCCCTTTTTTGGGCCCACCACCCCATCTTCTGGACCTACTCGAGGTTATCTAGACTGATGCACTCTACTACTTTTTCCAGCGAGACTTTTCCATCCTGAAGGTTGTTGGATTTCAGTTTCGATTTGAGGGATTTTAGATATATTTGGATAGTGTGGATATGTAAATTAATGTGAGTCTCCTTCAACATCCATGCTTGGATCTTGTTGAAGTTGAGTACCTTTGAATGTGAGGATCGTAGGGATGCTTGGATGACAGGCGGAGACCCTTGAGGTAACTCATGCTTTTGAAGCTCCCATAACTTGCGCTTGCGGTTTAGTGTTCTCATTGACATTTGGATGCCGTATTGCTCTCACTAATTGGATGACAAGAAAGGCTGGCTATGTAGAAAACAATCGCGTATGGCTACAACTTGAGAGTTTCTTCCTGCCTGGTGCAGAGAGGGAGGACTGAAAGACACTCCTGTCCTATGAATCATGTTTCAAATTACTGGGTGGTTGGGTTTCAGCAACTCTTATGTTTCAATGCATCCCTATTGGAATTCTGGTGTCAAGAAGTATATTGTTCCAATTGATTTGTGAATTGGTCTACAGTATTGGTGTTTTCAACTTTTAGTTTTAGGATTTCTGACATATGACTACAGGTGGCACGATTGTGTCGTACCTGGGCTTCCGTAAGATCAAGAGCTTATGATGTGGCCCATCGGAACCAGCGAGGCTTTGAACTTGAAACTTCTTTCGTCAACGTGGGAGCGAGGAGTTTTACGGAGCTTTAACTGTGAATGGGTTGGTCAAACTCGTCAAAGCTTGGCAAGTATCCATGGTTTGAATTACCATTCGTGCGTCTTCTTCACAATCCGATTCCGCCATGCACGATTGCGAGAAACCAATCCGGCGGTTCAAGATTTGAATGTTGTCTTAAGACCAAGGAAGGAATCAACGTTTCAAAGGGGGGGGGGGGGGCAGGACCCAGGAAACCCCCTATAAATGTCAGTAACCAAAATGTATGAATTTTTTGGGAAAAACCCAAAATGATACTCCCCAGAAATGTATGAATGGGTATTTTTGGGCAAAATGTTACTCACCTGAAATGTATGGAATTTTTGGTGAACAATGAAGGTTAGTAACCAAAAATGTATGATTTATTATTATTATCATTATTTTCTTTTTTGCAGGCCCCCCCCCCTTGCCAGTGACCCATCATGTCACCCCCCATCAATTTTTTTCACACCCCCACCAGATTTTTTAACCCCCGTCAGTTTTTGGCAAAAATAATTCCTAAAGAATCAAATCTCTCAAAAGGAATAAGCTGATGATAGTTAATAATTATAAGTTGCTCCCACTACATACTGTATGCAATGGCAAATATTTCTTGATTTTTTTTTCAAGACCCAAGTTGCTAATGGGAATGACTAGCTGCAAAGAAAGTTTGGCTATGTGCTTCCTGGTGGGAAAAAATGGTCCAGACAAAAAATATACAAAATCCTAGCCTCCAGCCAAAAAAAAATGTTAGGCACGAAAATTGTATGAAATTTTTGGCTGACCTCTGAGCCTACGCACGAAACGTGTATGAATGAGTCCCAAAAATGTATGAATTTTCTGAAAATCTGGGATTTTACGTTACTGAAATCTACAGAGGGTTTCCTGGGTCCTGGGGGGGCAGCTATAAGTTGATGTAATCGTCAATATGCATATAACACGCACCTTCTATTGGGACTTACTTGTTATAACTCACATATGAAGCTGAGGTTGAAGTTGATTGAACTAAAAACAAAATGGAGGTTTTGAGCGTGCACTGTTGTATTTGTGAGATTCACTCTTGTCTCTCTCTCTTGATGTTGGACATCTCGCTTGATTATAAGCCCCCGTGAAGGTTACATCCAGGCTTAAGAAAAAATGGTTTCCCTCAAAGTTGCGTCGAGCAATCCTGAAGGAATCAGCAACTACATAAAGTTCCGCAAAATACAAGCTCAGGATTGGTAGCGCAAACTCCTAAGGCATGAGCTAACGCAGAACCAGAAGATGTGTTTTGATTTTGCTTTCATGCCGATTAGAGTAGCAGCTAGAGAGTTTGCGAGGAACTATCTGAAATTGAATCCACTACTACTAGGATCCGATACATAAAAGTTAAAACTTCCAACCAGATCCAAGGCTGGATAGCTATCGCAATATAAAGTCTATTAATACTCAGATTGAGTAGTAAGACTAAACATGAAATTGTATCCATAATTATTAGAGAGGAACTTGATAAAAAAACAAATTTGGAATATAAATTTTGCCGCCCGTACCATTCCGCGTTGTTCAACTCATATATCTTGCAATTGTGCGCTGGTCACCAGGAAATCGATCTTTCATCAACCGCAGAGGTTTGGGTTCCACCAGCAAACACTACTATGGTGCATTTCTTTTTTCATTTTTTTTTCTATGCAAAACACAAGAGAGTTGATTCCATTCAAGTTTGTGATTATCATAGACTAAGAAGAGGATAAGAAATGAGGCAGGCAGAACAACAATTACTTGTATTGTATTGCAGGTACTACCAACAAGGGACGCTGGGGTTGATCACACAAACAGGTCTAGAGAGGATTCAAGAAGAGAGGCAAGAAGAGAAAAAAATGTTGATGATCATCAGTCTGAGCTTATGAGGGAAGAAGTAGGATTTTTCAGAAAGGACAGATATTTACACGCCGTATTCGGGGGGCGACGCTTTTTGCGGCGGCAGTTGTCCGGGGATGTGCTCAACAGTATAATTAGACGAGGCTATTGGTGCCCCTCCTCGACGTGACTTTTTGCCATTCGATCCCGAAGTAGTTGCCGTCGATTTTTGGTAAGATGAGGATACTGGAGGCCTAGTGGATCATGATGGGACACAAAGGAAGTGGGATTATTGTATACATATGATAAAAATCTTATGTCAAATTGGTTGGGAGTCACATACCAGTTGGGCAGAGTACTTCGAGTAAAGATTCGCTCCGAACCAGCCACGCCCGTGCTAGTATGACCTGAGGGCGATGAGACTCGGCCTTGTGCATCAGACGTGCTGAGAAGCATGCCCTGACTATTTGATCTTCGATAAAGCGATTCTAGTTCCCACGGAGGCCTATGAAAAGAGAGGAATTACAAAAACGAGAAGAAGTAAAAGATTAATTTCTCTACTGAAAAAACATCCTTGTAACATCGAGAGTCACCAACACCGACTTGACACTGCGATTTTGGTCCTTAGAGTCCGGGGACGGATTCTTCTTGTCTGGGTGACGGGGCGTCAAAGCAGCGTGTTGACCAGCGATCTTCTGAGGGGAAGTTGGCCGAGAATCAACCTTCATGAAGAAGGCGAAGAAAACTAATATTTTACAAGAAGAAAGATAGGTTTATCATGTTGGTCAGTGTTCATTTTCAGTAATGTGTCGCGGTGTAAAATGAGTAGTTTTTTTTGTAGGGGGGGGGGCGGTGTCTTCCTATGTCAGGACTGAAGTTTGACTCAACAGAGTGAAATCAGAACCATTTTGCAGGTGTAAGGGAGCAATGCCATGATGCTCGATCGGAGAAGTCACTTCTGGGGTTGTGCAAGGGGAGGTGGGAGAAAGGGGAGGGAAGAACCAGTCAGATTCGCGAAGGAAGGGGCATACACGAATTTTAAATGTTTTTCCAAGTCGCGTTTTCGAGGCAGGCAGGCACATCGCTTTTCATGCCTTGTGGACTGAATGCGCGAGAATTCGCACAATCGTCGATGATGACCAGTGATGTGAAAAGGAGAACTGGTATCAGATCAGTCGATTTCCTGGGATAAAAAAGCGGGCTCTCAGTGTAAATATTGCTGGCAACTGTATAGGAATCGATCCCACCTCAATCCTATCCCCTCCAAAAAGATCCAAGTTAAATTGCCCAAAGGCCTCATTCGGGAATTGGATACTTCAATTTCCTGGTGAATTGGCTTATCGTGGGGTCCCTAAGTTGCGTCTTTGTCGCTGTTTCACACAAAGAGGGAAGTAGTATTTTGTGCGAGGGA